TCCTTCTTCATTTTGTTAGCCAGAATTCTCTTATCTAGAACTTTCTTCAAGACTATTTGATTATCCTAAGAGATGGTTAGTACAAGAAAGGCAAGAAAACGCTGGCTTTTTTCCCTTTGCTTAGTATTTCTCACGCAAAGGAGTAGGTCCCCCGTTTTCCTCTGAATGTGACTGAAGTCGTTTCCCAAAGATCATAAATCTTTGTGTTTGTTTGTGTGGTGATGGGGATTAAACCCAGGACCTCACACATGCAAGACAAGTGTTATATCACTATAAATCTTTATTTTAAAAAAAAGAGTTTACAGGCTGGGCATGCTGGTGCACGCCTGTGCCCGGCACTTGGGAGGCTGAGGCAGGAGGATTGCTGCGAGTTCAAGGGCAGTCTGAACTATGTAGGGAGACTCTGTCCCAAAAAATAAAAAAAAAAACAAAAAAGGTTTGCCCAGAGATGTGAGGGCAGGGGAAGGGAAGTGAAGAGAATTAAGATCTGTTATGTACACGGACAAAGTTCCCAAAAGGAATGTGATCATTATGTACTGCAAACATGCACTAATAAAAAAAAAAATACAAACTAAGAAAATAAACGAGAACTTACTCTTTGGACTTTCATATTTGGGCTTCCATTGTAAGTGGTGTTGACATACATAAATTGATTGTGGGTTGTACATGACTCCCCTGTTTACTAGCACCACGCAGTAAGGCAGCAGACTTAAATGGTCTTGCTAGTACCTCACCCGAGATCATTGGCCCTAGCTTCAGTTACTTAGTGCTGCCTAAGAAGCCACTGCAAACTTAGCGACTCAAGCATTGATGTGTGGTGAGCTCTGCGTGTCCAGGGCTGGCTGGGCTCAGTGGGGCAGCTCTCACGTGGCTGCAGTCAGAGGACATCTGGGCCAGAGTCACTTACAGCTGTGACGGGGTCAGCCAACTTCTCTACACACACGTCTGCAACTTCAGCTGGGTTGGCAGGAACAGCTAGGGCTAGACAGTGTTTTACCCAATCTGAGCAGTCTCTCCACATAGTCAGCTTGGGTTCTCTCACAGCCTGGTGGCCTCAGAACACAAGAATTCCTTGTATGGCAGCTCACTGCCCCACAGTGGATGTTTTAAAGGGCCATGCTGGAAAGCCAGGCTCTGGTGATCCCAGCATTCAGGAGGCTGAGGCAGGAGGGTCCTTGCAAGTTCGAGGCCAGCCTGGACTACACTGTAAGTTGAAGGCCAGCCTGAACAACATAGCAAGACTTTGTCTGGGAAAACAAAAGCCAAGCTGGAAACTGCAGGGCTTCTCATGACCTACCTTTTTCCCAGGAGTCACCTCAATATGGCTACCTGATTCCTTCAGGGTAGTGGGACAGTCTCTAGCTCCTGTGTACTAAGATGCAGTCTTAGGTAACAGTATAACCGCAGGAATAGTGGCGTCCTATTGCTTTGTTCTGTAGGTTAGAAGTGAGACCCAAGTTCCACCTGCACACATAAGGTTGGGGACCATAGATGGCTGGGTCATCTGAGGATCTGCCCACCCACGTTCTCTGAGGGTTCTGACTCCTCTTTGAAATAGAAATGTAGACTTGGAAATAAGAAAATGACAAGGAGCTGGCTATGGTGGTACATACCTGTAATGCCAGCACTCAGAAAGCTGAGGCAGGAAGGTTGCTGATACTTCATCATGGCATATACCCATAATCCCAGCACTCAGGAGGCTGAGGCAGGAGGATCACTTCAAGTTCAAAGACAGCCTGGGTTACATAGCAAGACCCTGATACACGCAAAAAGGAAAGAAAGAAAGAAACAACCAAACAAACAAACAAACAAAGGTCTGGGGATGCAGTTCAAACCATCATCGAGATAGAGCACTTGCCTAGCATGTGAGACCCTGGTTTTGAGCCCCAACACCTCCAAAATACAAAACAAAACCCTCAAGACAGTGTGTTTCACTGTGACCAACATATGTTCATGACAGATGATTTGCAGGTAAGATTTTCTTGAAATTTGAAATAACTATTACTTTCTTGTTGTTGTCACAAAGCTAATAGTATCTTATAAGGTAATATTGTAACTGCCAAAGCAGGTTTAGGAGGCCTGCTGAACCCCAACTCTGCTTGCTTCCTGGCTGTGAAACGTGTTCATGCTCCAGCCTTCCCGGCTAGAAATGGAATGTACGGTTGTCTCATCCCCCCAAAGTCTTTCACCTCTTCTTAGCCTGGTGCTCTGGTTTGTGTTTGATTTAGGTCCTCTGAAACACATGTTGAGGGCTGGGGATGTAGCTCAGCGGCACAAGCGCCTGCCTGGCAAGCACAAGGTCCCCATTTTGATTCCCGTGGAGTGGTGGGTGGCTTCTAAAGAGGCATTTAGGTCCTTACAAGGGATGAATACCTTTCTCAAAGGACTGGATTAATCTCTCTGCTATAGCAACAGGAAATGGTCTAGGACACTTCTCTGATCTTTATTTTTTATTGTGTTTGTTTTTTGAGACCAAGATCTCACTATGTGGTTCAGGCTTTCTGAAGCCTGTGGCCTTGAACTCACTCTGAAGCCTAGGCTGGCCTCCAACTCATGGCGATCCTCCTGCCTCAGCCTTCCAGTGGTCTGGCTCAGCTCCACAACTTTTTAAAGCCATCTTCCAAACATTCTAGCTTAACTCTTCTGCCCCGTTAGAGATTTCATCAACTACTGAACGCCACTGTGATAAATTCTGTTCTATTTCAGCTCCAAATTTTTGCTGTTACTACTGTAGCTGTTACCCCTTCCCTGCCATGCGTGACGCTTCCTGCAGTCCCTCGCTCACTGCCCCGTTACCATGCAACTGTCAAATGCCTCCTCTGTCTCACTCATCTTTGGATTCTCGGTGCTTGGTAAGAACCAAGAAAGAAACTGCTTTAGTGAGTGAGTGAAATTCTCCGTGCTCTCATTTTCTCGTTTGTAAGTTGGGAATCATAGCTCTTGTCTAAAGGGAAACTATACGGCAGCCGTGGAGGTGCAGACCTGTAATTCCAGCACTCACTGGTTCCAGCCCAGTCTGGGAAACCTAGTGAAGCCCTCTTTACAGACATGAAATGGGGGGCGGGAATACAGCCCCGGGGATACAGTGCCTGCTTGGCAAGTGCAAGGTCCTGAGTTCGATTCCCAGTACCAAATAAATAAATAAATTAAATTAAATTTAAAAATTTTTAAAGGGCTGGTGATGAACCTCTCTGGGTGAAGGCCCTGGGTTCAATCCCCAGTACAGAAAGAAAGAAAGAAAGAAAGAG